CATCTACACTTTCGCATTGGTGTTGTTGTTGCTTTGCATTGCCTTTGCTATTGCCTTTGCCTTTGCGTTTGCCTTTGCCTTTGCTGTTGCCGTTGCTGTTGCTATTGCTGTTGTGTTGAGTTTGTTTATGTTACGCTATGCTGCGCTATGCTATGCTGCGCTATGCTATGCTATGCTGTGCTATGATATGCTATGCTATGCTGTGCTAATGCTGCGCTGCGCTAAGCTAAGCTAAGCTAAGCTGAGCTAAGCTACGCTAAACGAAGCTAAGCTAGGCTAGGCTAGGCTAGGCTAAGCTAAACTAAGCTAAGCTAGGCTAAGCTAAGCTAAGCTAAGTTAAGCTAGGCTAAGCTAAGATGAGATAAGCAAAGCTAAGCTAAGGGGGCGCACCTGGGGAACCCGCGGGGTGGATACTGGGGGAACCGCCCGGGGCGAGGAACACTGCCCGGCCCCTTTAAGCCCAGCGAGTAAGAACCCTCTAGGCAGAGCCTGGGTAGGGAACAACTGCACGATCTTCATGGATTTGAAGGCGGCTCAGTTTCAAAATGTGATTCTCGAGTTAGCGCCGCGCACACTCGCCTGTAACATTTGAAGAAGTTTAACAAGTTTACATGGCCAACGTATCAAACAAGGTGTTTCGAACGAGTCAAGAATTGCCAGGACGTGACAATTACGTTGTCTCGCAATGTGAAAGTCCCAGGAACGGTGTTCCGGCAGGAGGCGGGATCGTCGAGGCGCAGCAGTCCGGATGACCCGTGGCGTTGGAATCTCGGAGATGGTGTATTGGCACGCTTCGGGATCTTCAAACGGCTGTCTCCCAACGGGGCACTTCCCTCAGTGGGAATAAACCCTTGTAGGGGCCTGTGAACAGGGAGCTTGGAGAGAGGCCTTACTCTAACATCGTTGGTGAGTCTTGGGTTTGCACTGGTCCTCCTGCTCCTCCTCCTTCTCCTCCTCCTCCTCCTCCTCCTCCTCCCTCTTCCCCCCCGTCTGGATCCTCGGTGGACGAATGAACAGGGGTGGAGAAACGGCGGCAAGCAGAACGCAACAAGCACTGATAAAACTAGAATTTGGTTCAGAAACAAAACATGGAGATGAGAAGCCGAAACAGGGCCGAACAACATACATCAGAAAGAGCATTACAGCGGTAGAGAAACCGCAACGGGGATTGATGAACCAGAAAAAGGGGCACATACAACGAAACAGTGGTGCCACGAGAAAACCATACAGTGGCTGAGAAAAACTGACCACGAGATTCGGGAAACGGAGTAGGGGAAGCGAACACGAAACAGAGCGGAGAAAACGGAGCAAGGGTGCCGAAAACGAAACGAGGGTGAATAACGCGGGGCAGGGGTAGAGAAAACGAAACAGGGCCCGAACCAGGGGTAGGGAAAGCGAAACTAGGTGATGAACGCGAAATAGATGTGGAGAACACGTAACTAAAGTTGACAAGACAACAATGGAGTGGGTAAAACAAAACAGGGGATCATATCACGAGACAGCGGTAGAGAAAACACATCGAGTGATGGAGAAACCGAAACACGGGCGGAATCAACAACATAGAGATCGCAAAAGCGAGACAATAATACCTCATCAAACTGAGCATACGACAACGATGCATCAGATGAACAAGTGGCAAAGGTTTTCAAACAGGAGCGGATAGCACGAAACGTTACTGGCGACCAGAAGCAATGGTAGAGATAACGAAATTCGGGTGGAGAAAACAAAACCCGGGTACCAAGGCGAGGATCAAAAACAAGAGTGTAAAACACAACACATGTTGAGAACACGGAGTGTAGAGAAAGCGAATCAGAGGTTGAGAGAACGAAACAGTGGTGAAGAAGATCATGCTAAGGCGGCGAAAGCGCAACAGAAGCGAATGACAACAAACATGGGTAGAGAGAAAACAAGGCAGTAGTGGAGAGGACGTATCTGGGCGTAGCCCATACAGCGTTCGAGCTTGGACAAAGCAAGGGCTGAAGGAACGACACAAGTCGTGATGGGAGGAGGGGAAATCCTCGTCCTAATCCGTCTCCGCCCTCCGTAGAGGAATAAAAACGTCGTAGGACATAAACTTTCGGAGCTCCATGTGTATTCTTGGATCGGCGCTGGGCCCCCTCCCTAGTGCGCGGAGCGCGCCAGGTGAGACGCCGGAGGCGCTGGCGGGGGGGCCCAGTGCTGATCCAAGAGAACCGCACGAAGCTCCGAGTGTTTGTGTTTGTGCCTGTCTTCCTGTTGATACCAGGCAGCAAGCAGCTCTGACCCCGCATCGCGTGCAGCGACGCCAACGCTCACAATGAATGACCACGTTTCCTCCCCCCCTGCCGTGCAACCAACACTGGATACCTCCCTCCGTAGGTCGTGCTGCTCGCCCCGAGCATGTCGCCGTGTACCTGCTACGTCTTCCTCCTCCTCCTCCTCGTCCTCCTCCTCCTCCTCGTCCTCCTCCTCCTCCTCCTTCTCGACCTCCTCCTCGTCTACCTCCTCGTCCTGTCCTCCTCCTCCTCCTCCTCCTCCTCCTCCTCCTCCTCGTCCTCCTCCTCGTCCTCCTCTTCTTCCTCCTCCTCCTCGTCCTCATCCTCAGTCTGTCGGAAGCGGGAGGCGTTCGAGTTCGCTGGCGAGCTTTCGCACCGGAGGACAAGGCAAGCCCGACGGGGGACGGCAGAGCTGGGGAAGCCCAAAGGTACCGATGCCGCTACTCCCCGGACCACTTCTGGGGTGCGTTCTGACCAGAATTTCGCGGCGAATCCAGAGGTGGCGACGAGGGCCTCCCAGGAGGCGCAAAAAGCCGAAAACGAGGCGAGGGTAGCGACATCCATACCTGTCCCTCCTCTGAATAGCGGTTCGTGGGCCGCCAGGACGGCCACCCTTAGGCCACGGGCCCCTCGCCAACCCGCAGCGACCGGGACTCGTAAGCGACCCAGGGGGCCAGAAATCAGCCGAGGGGACGGGGTCGAGCGGCTGTGCTCCTCCTCCTGCTCCGCCTCCTCCTCGCCCCTCATCATCAGCAGCAGCAGCAGCATCCTCATCATCATCATCAGCAGCAGCAGCAGCATCAGCAGCATCAGCATCAGCATCAGCATAATCACCATCATCATCAGCAGCAGCATCATCATAATCATCAGCAGCATCATCAGCATCATCAGCATCATCATCATCATCAGCATCAGCATCATCATCATCAGCAGCAGCATCATCATCATCATCAGCATCATCATGATCATCATCAGAATCAGCATCAGCATCATCATGAGCACCATCATCATCAGCATCAACATCATCTTCATCACCATCGTCATCATGATCATCATCATCATCATCAGCATCAACATCATCATCATCATCATTATCATCATCATGATCATCTCCCACTCGTCATCATCATCATCATCATCAGCATCATCATCGTCATCGTCGTCGTCGACATCGTCATCGTCACCGTCATCGTCATCGTCATCGTCGTCGTCATCATCGTCATCGTCCTCGTCCTCGTCACCATCGTTTTCATCACCACCACCACCATCATCGTCATCAGCATCATCATCATCGTCATCATTATCAGCATCAGCATCATCATAATCATCCTCATCCTCATCCTCATCCTCAACCTCATCCTCATCATCAACCTCATCCTCACCATCGTCATCATCATCAGCATCAGCATCAGCATCAGCATCATCATCGTCATCGTCATTGTCATCATCATCATCATCATCATCATCATCAGCATCATCATCATCAGCATCATCCGCATCACCATCTTCTTCATTATCATCATCACCCCCTGCGCGTCATGACACCCCTTCCCTCTCGCGTTCCGCACAACACTCCTCCGAGGACCCCCGCCGGGCCGCCGGGCTCCGGCAGCATGGCGACCGCGATGCTCAGGCGCTTCTTCTCCCCGCCGGAGAGGCCGCGCAGCGACAGGCCTCGCCGGCGGCGGCCCCGCTCCGCACTCGCGCTGCGGGGGGCAGGCCGGGCCCCCTCCCCAAATCTCCGACGACGTGATTGATCCAGGCCCGCAGACGTTCCGACTTCGACGGAGTAAGCAAAGATCTGCGGCATCTGCTTTTATACTACCTGTGCGACTTTCCAGTTCTTTTTGTCGTGCGTTCGTAGGTTTCGGCATCTGGGGCCCTTCTTCTTCTTCTAGCTCATGAGGACCAGATCCGAAGGAGAGCACTGGCAACGCGAAACCGAAGCGAAAAAGCGTAGCACTCTTAACTACCCACGGGGTTGTTCCCTGAGGAGGCTTAACCTACGAAGCCGACGTAAACTGCTAAAAAGATACGATCCACTCTCGGCCAGATGCCGCACGGACCCCGCCAGCACAAGCCCGATGCACGCAGCACCCCGGAGGCTCGGCTAGCCTAAGGTACGCGGACCCTTGCCTTTGCTGGGACCTTTACCTCTCGAGCGACCATGCTTTCCTTTCCCCCCTCCACGCGGCCTCCTAAGGATATTTACTGTCGGAGGGCCGTCCAAAAAAATTCGGGGGATCAAAAACTGCCTGCTGTGCATTCGAGCTTTGAGTGAGAGGAGGAGCCGAAGACGAGGACGGAAGGGAGGAGGAAGCAGGGGGGAGAACAAAGCCTCTTGACCTCAGCTCAGCCAGGCGCGAACTCGTCTGTAGGTCTCTCGGGAGTCCCTCTACCTCTTCGAGTGCTCGTCGACATATTTGCTGAGGATCCGCTCGAGCGGGCCGCGCGGCGGGGCGCCGACCAGCCTCTTGCCACCCTCGAACTCCACGAGCTTGATGAGCCACTTCTGCACCTCCGTGTAGTGGCTGTGGCGTGGGTCCGCGTACCACATCAGTGTGCACATCGGTGTCGAGCCCTCCTCCTTCTTGTGTACTTTCACCCTGAAGTGCGTAATCAGCTGGCCGACAGCGTTCGGACCGTCGAACTTGCTCAGCACCTCGTTGAAGAACTGCAGCATCTCCTCGCTCAGCTTGGCTTCCTCCGTTTGCGTTGATCCTGCCGACGCCGTCCTCGTAGCTCCGTATCCGAATGCTGCCATGAATATCTGAACGTGCGCCGCGCCCCTCGACTTGTGATCCTGCTTCTCGCCTGCCTTTTCCTTTGCCTTTAGGGCCGCCGAGTCGTCGTTGTACTTCTTGCCTGCTTGCTGGCTGACCGCCACCACTCCCACCGCCACTGGTAGCTCGTATTTCGTGTACAGCAGGGCGCCGAGGTCGGCGATGTCCTTCGTGTTGGTCAGCACCAGCTTCACCATGGGCAGCATGATGTCGTCCTTGCCGCCTTTGTGCTTCTTCTTGTCCCTGGCCGCGCCCTCGCCCTTTTCCTCCTCCCGCCTCGAGCGGTGATGGACTGGCTGCACCACGACGGCATGACGAGCTTCGGTTCCTGGTCCATCCCCTCTGGCATATCTGCTGGCTGGTTGGCTCTCTGGGGTCGGTCCAATACTGCCTGGCAAGTGGTTCGACACGAGATGGCTGCAAAGATCATCGAGGGTGCCGCCTTCGTATTCACAGCATAAACATTGTAGTGATCTGGGCATTTTGAGAGGAAGGAGGGTGCGTGCTGCTTCTCTTTGGCAGCGCCCACGTTTAAGTGCGCGCGATAAGTGCTGTGCTGCTGTTCTCTGCGATGCGAATGTTTGACGACAACTGATACAAGTATTCGTCGGAGTGATAACGAAGTAGAGGTTACGAACATGATGCGCCGACTTTATGCGTGATAAATACGCTGGCCTCGTAAGAAAACTGGCCCCGCATTCAACCCCATTTTTACTATGCCTGCATATGAAGGCTTCCGATGGGTCCCGCTCATGTGGCGGAACGACAACTGGTGACGAAGCCCGCTCTTGGAATCCAGGTGGCGGGATCCGCCTGCCGAACTCTCGGCTCCTCAGCTCCGTGAAATCAATCATACAGAAATCCTCCATCGCTTCCTTGTCAGCGAAGAGGGCTAGATTCAAAGCAATCGGCTCGATCATGCAATCTGGCAATAACTCTGCTGCTTGGTCCAAGTCCGCGGCCATTTGCTGCAGCCGCGGCGAGGCGTATTGGGATGGACGTCCTGCGCAAAGCTGCGGCCTAGTGTCGAACTGAAACTCCCCGAAAAGAGCAACTAGCACCTGGGTATGGTGCTCAGGACGTCGACCCCACGTCTGATAAAGCTTTAGGCGCCTAATCCTCATCTCCTGGTTACAGGGAAGTATGTTCCAGAACCATAGGATTTCTTTATTAGTGAGGCTCGTGATATGCCCCCCCTCATAGTTAGCCGCTTTCCCACCCATTGCTGCTCTCCCCAATCGGCTTAAACGCGAGTCCAGGATGTCATAGTCGAATTTAGACAGCGGGAAACTCTCCAAACCAGATAGCAAAGCGTTTTGAACAAACCCGATGAATAAGCATCTCCTCCACCTCCTCGCTAGTCCCGTTAGCTTCCACATTCCACTAAGAAAGTGAAAACCAGTACGTGCAGCAGCGCATCTACGAACAACTTCGTTCCTAGCCGAGTCCCGCATGGTAATGAATGGCCCCAGGTAACGAGCTTCCTCCCGTACAGCTCCCTTCAACACAAGATCACCCGCTCGGATTCTGGCACGTCCGAGATGACCCCGTTGGGCAAAGTGTACAAGAAACTCCTGCTTGCTGGCATTCTGCGCATACCCATGCATGGAAAGGGCCTCATCTAGGTCCCTGTCCACTTGCACTAGCTTGTCCAAAAAGGAAGATAACGAATCTCCTGGATCAGCAATAACGAGCTTGTTCAAATCATCTGCGTATTTCTGAAGTGAAGTATCTACCTTCCATCCCTTCCATTCCCCCACCAATAGCTTCGATCTGGTATCCCATGTCCTCAATTCCCTCCCCCACGTAAGAATCGGAAAGTTAAAGGCGCCCACGAAGGCAGAGACGATAAACGGGTCGCCCATACAGCCACCTTGTCGGGGCCTGACTAAAAGTGGGCCATCTGCTGCTTCAAATCGAATCAGGCTCTGCCGAAAGCGCTGCTTACAGATCTGATAATCCTCTGGCTTCGCATGAAGCTCAACAACTTGGTCCAATGTGTTGTGGTGTGTACTGCCGAATGCATTACTTAGATCTTTCAAACAAACTGCGTGCGTGAAACCTCCCTCCCGAAGTCGACGACTCATAAGCTGCGAACATAGAACCGCCTCCTCCCGACGACGCCCTTTGACGAACCCGTAGTCCATGACCGATGGCTCCCCACGTAATCGACGACCGAAGTACCCTTTACTAACCGTTGGAGGATGTGAACTACTCGGCGTCCTCGGGGCCCCTTGAGGCCAGACTTGCGCAATCCACGGGCAGAACTGGTGTGCCAATACAATGGAGTCTGCTGGTGCATCCTGATCTTTGCCAGGCCAACGTTCACCATGAACTGGAAAGTTAAAGTACTCGGGGGCTCATCAGAGGCTCCAACCCCTGCAACTTGCGGGGCATCCTTTCTCGGCTTGGGCAAGAAGCACATGTGCCACAATTCTAAAGGAGCGGTCCCAGGGGGAACCACTTTGCGCCTCTGTGCCCGAATCGTGTGCCAGAGAATCGCTGAATAATCTGCCTTTGCCAATTCAAAGAGCTCAGCATCAGGAAGCCATTGAAAGTGCCCCTCTTGATCCTCACGAAGAGCCTCCCACTCGACTTGCTGCACGGCCATGCCACCTTCATGGCCTGGCAATGTCCAAACCTCGAGCCACTGGTGAGCAGGAAGAGGACCTGGCCGAATGAGTGCTCCGTCTCGTTTTTTTGGGCCAATCCTCGTTCGTGCTGCCAGGCGTGTGATCCTCATGGCCTCCGCTGCGCGCCTCTGCTTCCACATCTCATTAGCTTCGTCCAAGAGCTGCCGTTGACGTCGACGTTGAAACTGCCTGCGGGCCATCTTCAGCTGCTTGGTCAGTCTGGCCAGCTCTGCGTCGATCTGCTTCACCTCGTCCTCGCTGCCCTCGAACTTTCCTGCTCTGATCACTGTTCGCTGTTGTAACAAACATCGGCGATCAGCACAGTGTTGCGAATAGTCTTCGCATAGAGGCGGCCGCATAGCCGTGGTAAAAAAAAAAACTTCTCACCTGCCGAAATCAAATGCCCTTCCAGCGTCTCGAAGATATCGTCTGGCGATGCACTTTCTTTGATGTATCTCGGGTCCACCGTCTGTAGTGAATCACGAACGTGTTCAAGAAACTCTCGCTTGTGGGTGCCTTTCTTGAGGGCCATCATAAGAGCGTCTCGGTCCCATCGCAAAATAGGTTCCGTTTTGACTTCAGGAGAACACTTAGCATAATTCATGACGCACACCAGTGGTAAGTGATCTCTAGGAGCCGCACCACGTTGTAGTTGTAACTTTGCACCCAACTTCGGGATAGTGCCACAAGTGATAGTCATAGCGTCCATGTCCGCTGGATAACTGAGATAATCTACTCGCGAGCTATATGTGTCGCCGAAGAAAGTCGGTGAGCTTCTCCCACCCACCGTGTTGCCTGCTAGAAGCCTGTGTTCCTCCAGAACTGCTCGGAACAGTGCACCTGCTCCGTCCTCTGTGCGCTCCAACGTCGGGATACCGATAGCACCAGAACGCAAATCCACACTGCCCGAGCCTCGCTTCTGTAAACCCATCCCGTCATTCAAATCACAGAAAATAAAAGGTGTTGAACGTGTCGGTGTTTGAGCCAATATATCTTGGAGCCAGTCTCGCAAGATCCGTACCGTTCTGAAATAAGCTCGGTTTTTTTGGAGTCGCATATCCCGAGGCGGAAAGTAAAGAGAAACTAAAGTTAGATCTTGTCGTCCACGTTTGACCCGAACTGCAATCGCTCTCCCTCGCGCTTCCTGCGGAGAACACCAGCTGGCCACAATATGGTCCTCCTTCAGGCCCCCGCCGAGCACGATAGCGCATCCACAACTAGAGTTCGCGTGCGGGCTGGGACCAAAAGGCGCCTCGAGAAGCAGTCGTCCTGCTACACGTCGTCGGAGTATCTGACTGCCTGTATGGTTCTGTCGGTAATCTACGGACTGCGTTCCAGCTAGAAGCACCGCGTCGAAATTCCGTAACTCTGTGACAATCTCCTCCTGCCTCGCGCCCGTGCAGCTCTGCGGGTTCCAGCCCAGGATTCTCAATCTATGCATCCACGCTGAACCGTATCTTGCGTGTCTGGTCGGAGAAACGCTCTGGCAGGAGGCAAATCTAGGTGGGCAGCTGACCCACTTGCAATCATAAACTCGAGCCGACAGGGCTCATCTGGGGCCCGCTTTAGGGACCCAGGGCCATGAAATGACGAACGGACAACACGCACCCATACCCAAAGGGAGGTCGTTGGGAGGAGGACTGGCTATGGATATGGGTGTGGGTTGTCGGACCCTGGGGAACGCTCCCGTTCGAGCGGGGACCCCCATCCGACAACACGCACCCATAGCCCTCTCCGATCCCCCTATGGGTATGGGTGTGTGTTGTTGGTTCGTCATGAAAGGTCGGGCCAGGACGAAGGAAGCCCTGTCCCCAGCGAAGTGGTCGGGACCTCCGGGGCCGCGCCTTGAAAAAAACTGGTCGCCGCATGCCTGGGTCTCGGCTACCCCTGCGACGGAGGCCCGCACAGCGTGGATCCCCACTCTGGGTTCTTTAATATGAAGGGGCCCCAGGACACACAAATAAATACACACAAATAAAAATATTCCCCGTATTTTCCCATATTTTGGGGGTGTTGGTCTTCCCACCCACTTCTCATATGTTTGCATATTTTCCTGGGAGTCGACAATTGATTGTGTCTGTGTGATTCTTTCCCTCCTGATCATAATCGTCGTGGGGGGTACCCCCCCGACGGGGGTCAACCTCGCCTCCTCGTCGCGCCGCGACGGGGGTCGGAGAGCCTTCGGCGCCCGGTGGCTACCCGCGGCGGGGGTCGAAAGTGGGGCCGACGCTTATCAAGAAACTCTGAATATGGGTGTGCAATCCCTGACCTTCCAGAGTGCTAAAAAATAGCCCTCCAGACCCATAGACCTATCTGGGCTGCCTAAAACCTCGACGGGAATTAAGATCTCGAGGTCCTGGTGCTATTTTTTAGCCCTCCTGGAAGGTCAAGGATGTGCTCCCCGCCGGGCGATGCGTGACCCCCGCCGCTCTCCTGAGGCGCCGGCTGCACTCTCTGGACACCTGACTGGCTCCCTCCGCTGCGCCGCTGCGTGCGCCCAAGTGGTTGGGCCAAGAAAAATCCGGACACGCAAGTGGTCCGTAAGATGTGACCGGTTTCTCTCCATGGATGCTGGGCAAGATCTGTGTCAGTCAGTCATACCTTGAGCCATAGACGGCAGTGCAGAGCAAGAGTAAGGGAGGAGGAATGCGTACACCGTATTGAGATACAGGGCTGCGGGGAAACAATGCTGAAGAACTAGAGATACTCCTTCAACACCGCCCTGGGGATTAGACTCTTGATTCTTATCTGATGTCTTTGCTGACACCCTTGGCCCCCAAATCGACCCTCAAAATTTGACGCTGTGATTATTTAAAACCTCCGCCATTCTCATCCACCCATCGTGGTGTCTTGCGTGACGTGCACACTTCACCCGCTGGTAAAAACGCTTCGAGTGGACCAACCAACGATGACAGAACCAAGCGTGAAATCCGACGACCCCCGCGAAGCGAGGGCGAAAGGGAGTGTGAGACAGACGGCTGCCCTGTTCCCCCTTGCACCCTCCCAGGGGAGCCCAAAGTCGAATCGATAAGTCGGATCGGCGATCGAAATAAGTCGGATCGGCAGAAATCGGCAGCCGAGTCGGGAAAAGTCGAATCGGCGGAAATCGGCAGGCTAGTATGCGTCCAATAAGAAATCGGAGCCCAAATCGGAATCCGAAATCGAATCGAATCGGAATCGGAATCCATCGGAGTCGAATCGAATCGAATCGGAGGATTCGAAACGAGCCCTGCCCTCCCCTGGGTCTGAAATTTCGCTTCAGTGTAAGAGCTGGCCAACGCAACCCTGGGCCCCGGGGCCCCCTCGGAGCCTCCAAATCTGAGGTCTGAATTTGACTCGTTTGGGCTTGAATCTTGGGGTTCTGAAACTGAAGCGCGGCCCCGAGCAGCCCCCGAAAACCCGCCCAGGACAGCCCAAGAGACCCACGAGAGGGCCCGGAGACGGCCCCAAAAGACCCCCAAACGACCGCACATGTCTTCAACCGAGCTCCAAGCGAGGGGCAAAGGAGGGGAAACTTGCAGGGACTCGGATGGTCCACAGGACACCCCAAATACCCCCAAATACCCCCAAGAGGCCATTAAAAGAGGGCCCAGAAAGAAAAGCCTCCAGGAGTCGTGAGAAGGCTCCAAGAGGCCGCCACCTGAGCCTCAGAGAGGCCCCGAGAAGCCCCGCAGTAGACGCGGAAGAAGAGGGGCACGAATCAACAAAAAATGCACGCAGACAGCACGACGGGAAGCGACACACAACTACGCACACACATGTACACAGGTCCACACACACGCACACACACACACACTGAAGTCACTACAGAGAGAGCTTCGGCGGGGCACGCTTAGCATCAATTCCACCTGGCGTTGCAGCTGGGGGACGCGTGCAGAACGCTGTGTCAAATTCCGACAGGCGTAGCGGGTGGGTGGGAAGGCTAGGCGAGCGCACCTGCAAACAAAAACACGTACACATTATCTCTCACCCACACGGAAACACACACACATACACACCAATACAACACACACACACACATACACACACTTTGGGCGATGCGGCCACACGCGCAGCGACGACGCGGCGGAGTAAGGCGAAGAAGAATCTGGAAGTGCCGCGCCGACGCCACAGAAGCGGCCGGGGGCTCAAGCAGCCCTGCGAGGAGCACAATGCTCACCCATGGCGAACCGCGCTGTGCGGGCGCCCTTCGGTGGGGGGCAGCCGTGGGAGGGGATGAGCGGGGAAGCTACCAAAGATGAAAACCGACATGAGCTAGAGGGAGCGGCAGGCAAACGCACTGGGGCGGCCCCAGGCGCTGCGCGACAGTGACGGACTGCGGAGGGCCGGCAAGAAAGGCGCAATGGGGACCGTGGAGCCAAAGTGAAAGAGGGACCACGGCGAAAACCCAGAGTGGAAAACCCAGAGTGGCAGCGGGAGAGGAGTGGCAGGCAGAAGCGAACATGAGCCCAGACCGCGAAGGCGCGGATACGGATACGCTCGCCGCTCGTGAACCCCGTGCACCGCGGCCAGGTCAGGCGAGCGAGATGGCCACGACGAGCCAGCCAGGCGCAGCGCAGTTCTCGGGGGATCCCGCAGAGGTGCCTCCGAGAGCGGGGGCGCCTGCGCGAGGGTGGGACGTCGAGCTGAAGGATGGAGGCGTCGACAGCCCCGAGGAGCTCATCTTCATCTTCAAGGGCACGACGCCGGCCGACATCGGCGCGTTCCGCCTCGCCTTCGCCGCGGCCAACGACGACTTTGGCGAGATCCCGCGCATCGGCCAGAAAAATCTGCAGGAAATCCACCGTGTCGGCGCTGGGGTCGATGGCTCCGTTGGGGTTGCTGAGCAGCGACTAAGCCCGCCACAAGAAGTGTGCACCAGCATCCGGCGGGGACACACGCACACACACACAAGAAATCGGAAGCCGCAAATCTCCTCCGCTTGGGGTCGACGGAATGGTGCAAGCATCTTGAATCAAGGATCGCCATCACCAGTCTGCATGCTACTTCCAGCACCGTTCTGGATGAGCTCTGGGACGAATGTTTGGACGATTCTGGCCCAAACTCGGGCCTCAAAGCGCGGCCCAAACCCACCCTGAGTCAGCCCAGTTTCAATGGTTGTCGGACTCGGGCCTCACGCGGGGATGCTCACGCTTGGACCGTCTGGAAGCTCGTCTGGGCCGCCTCAGGCCTATATTGGCCATTTTGCAAACATTTTTAGAGGCCCTGCTCAGCCATTTTTGGCGCCTTCTTGGCCGTCATCGTTGTTGGGTTCAGTTTGGGCAATAATCCGGAGAACCAGCGTCCGTGTCACTGACTCGCTTGAAGTAATGACCTGCATCTGCCAGCCACGCAGCATACCTCAGCCCTTTCGGTGATAGGATGGAGAAGAATAGGGCGCAGGAATAAGTACAAAATGTTAATCCCCTAGTGTTGGAAGGGCTATCCCCTGCGGGGAGGGTCATGCCTTACTGTTGGAACTGCAGTGCACACACCTGCAGGAGGGCCATCCCCTATTTTTGGAGAATGTTCATCCCGCTTTGCGGCCATCTTCACCTCTTTCAGCGAGAACTGGTGTGGGCGGGCGGTGAACGTGAAGCGTCCGCAGTCAAAGATTACCATCACTGGCCCTCACTTTACAATGGTAATGAAAAACAGAAGGGGGCGTTACCGTCCCCGTTGGTCCCACTCCCACCCCTTCTGCTTATCCTCCACCGCCTCCTTGTCCCTCTCCCGATCGTTCTTCCCATCCTCCCCTTTTGAAACCCACACGGCTCGTCCTTGTCCTCCTCCTCCTCCTCCTCATCACCATCATAGCCATCACCATCGTCATCATCAGCATCATCAGCATCGTCATCATCAGCAGCATAGTCCTCCTCATCATCATCATGGTCGCTGTCGACATCACAGTCGTCAGGCTACTCGTCAGCATCAACATCGTGTCATCAGCGTCACCATCATAACAATAATCACCATCATCAACATCATCATCATCATCATCATCATCATCATCACTACAATCATCATCATCATCATCATCATCATCATCATCATCAGCAGCATCATCATCGTCATCACAACCATCATCATCATCATCATCACCATCAGCATCAGAATCGTCATATCCATCATCATCACCATCATCCGCATCAGCATCACCATCATCATCATCATCAACATCATCGTCATCATCATAATCATCGTCGTCATCATCATCAATATCACCACAACCACCGCAACCACCATCACCACGGCCATCGTATTCATCTTCACCATCACCATCATCAGCATCATCATCAGCATCATCATCATCAGCATCATCATCATCAGCAGCAGCAGCATCATACGTACCATCATCATCGTCATCATCATCATCATCATCATCATCATCATCATCATTAGCATCATCATCATCATTATCGTCACCATCATCAGCATCCTTCTCCTCCTCCTCCTCCTCCTCATCATCCTCATCATCATCATCATCATCATCATCATCATCATCATCATCATCATCATCATCATCATCATCATCATCATCATGAGCATCATCCCTTTCCTGTTTGATCAGGCCTGGAGGAGTCCTGGCCACTGCCTCTCTGGCTCACTGCGGCGAGCGCGTGCACACGCTGCGCGCGACCCGACCGTCGCACGACACTTGGCCCGCGCCAGTGCCTGAGCCCTGACTCCACGGCCAGGCGGCGGAGCGGCCTCGGACGGCTCGGGCGCAGGCGCGGCCCACCATGCCAGAAGCGCCGCGAGCGCGGCCACCCTGACGGCCGCCCCTGCCGAATGGCCGTCGCGGAACGGCGGGCAGCCGCGGCGGCCGCCCGCCAGATCGGCAGCCTCGTTTCCGAGCCAATGCTCCTCGGACGCCCCGCGACTCGCCGCCGACTGCTCGTGGAGGTGTGCCTTGGCACACCTCGCGGAGGCGATGAGGCCACCGCAGCGGCAGAAGCAGCTGCCCCTGCGCGCACGGCCCTCGAGACCAGACAGTGGGTGCTGGGGCTGCTGCTGACAGTCCTACCACATAGCTCACACCACACATAGTACACAACATAGCTCACATCGTGTAGCTCACACCAAATAGCTTACACGTCATAGCTTACACCGCGTAAATTACACGGCATGGCTCACACCATACAGCTCGCGCCATGTAGACTACACAGCAGAGTCTACACTACATAACTTACACCGCATAGCTTGCATCGCACAGCCCACATCGCAAAGCTTGCACAACACAGCTTGCGCCGCATAGCTTGCACAACAGGTGCTCCACCTCCAGTTCGCAATAACTCGTGATCTGGGGTCCACTCTGGCTGGTCCACTTTGGCTGACGCACGATACGATATCTTAATACCAGAAATATTGGAGGGGGTGGGGCATCCTTCGTCGATCTTTGAGCCTCCGAAGGTGCCCCAGAGCTTCTACGAACACCTGGGGCCATGGGGGGATCCGATGTGCCCCCGGGGCACCTGCCGGCGGCAGCGCCCGCATCGCGGCGGGGCCCTCCCAGATCTGGGGGGGGGCCCGCCGCGCCGCGACAGAAAAGGAAGCCAGGCTCAAGGGCAGTCCTTGCCGTCGCTCGGACGTCCATTTCCCGTGCACGTTTCGGTTTCGCGCGTGCTTTTTTTGCTCGATGGTCCAGGATGGTCCTCGATGGTTCTCGCCGAAAAAAAGTGCACACGTCCGAGCGATGCCAAGAGTCAGGCTGAACTGGGGTTGGCTTGCCCAGAGTTCCACCCAGGTGCGGCACGGCTCAAAAACAACGGTGGAGATATCCTCCTCTTGTCCCCCCTCCTCCTCCAGCTCCCTTTCCCCCGACGCTCCTCTCCACCACCCTTCCGCCTCCTCCTCGTGCTCCCTCCACTTGTTCGGTCTGCCTCCTCCCCAGGGCCTCCTGGAAGCAGGCCACCGACCAGCGTGCCCTCCGCCTGCACGAGGCCCACGAGTCTCAGCGTGGCCGCCACGCGGGCGTCGCGCTCCTCCCGGCAGGGGCACATCCAGGGCGAATGGACCAAGCCGAAGCCAGAGAGGGAGAAGGCAACAGGCGAACCCTGTGGCCCCCTCGAGAGGGAGAGGGAGGAGAGAGATCGAAAAGCGTGGAGGGCGCAACTAACTACTTCAACAAGGCACTTGGCAACCCTGCACCGCGTAAGCCACGCCAACCACGGTACCCCCGAACAGCGACGAATCTTCCAAGACACTTGCGCCTCGACTGCAGCACACGCGTGCCGTGACGCGTGGCAGCGGTAGGGAACGACGGCAGAATTCGGGTGCGCCATCTTGCAATGAGGGGCAAGAGTGCTGTCAACATCATGCTAGCCCGTACCATGAGTTTCAAGCCCGCTGCCGTACCGCCACCACAACCGCCCAGTCGACATGGCGAGGGGTGCTCTTCATGGCGCAATGACAGATCGAGCATCCCAACCTTGCTATGCTTCTGCGGCCTCAAGAGCCGCGCGGCGGCCGCCCGCGGTCGAGTTTCAATCCATCTGGAGCCGACATTGGAAATTATGAGGAGAGAGGGCATGGGCGAAAAGAACGAGTAGCTGGATTCCGGGCACATGCCGCCACCCACGAATCAAGCTTCTTTCCGCTGTGCAATGGAGTGAAGAGGGCGAAAATGGTAGAAAAGGGGGACAAGAATATATATATATATATATATACACATATATATATATATAAATAGAGAGAGAGATATGTTTTGCCCCCTGTGTATCCCCCAACCGCCCCAGTCCGCCACCTCCGTCAATGCCCCCCAGCTACGCTCTGGCACTATATTGCAAAACGTTGGTTGGAGAACATCCTCGAAGATACCAAGGATTCGAGTAGTGGCGAACTACGAAAGTACGAATGTAGCTAGAGGTAGGGCCGCCCTACAGGTGATGAGGAGGCCGAGAGGGGGATAGGTGCAACTTCCGGAGTGCGTTTGACATCCGGCTGGGCTCGCGATCTATCCAACGACATTCATTTCGATTCGGCATCTCTACTCTATCCGTCGATCCAAGCACCACAATTTAGATACATCTCTCTAGTTGCCGGTCAACATGTCAATATCATATCGGAGGTCGGGGGTGTGAGCAGGAGTGACCCAAACTGGGAAATCAGTTTCGGTTTCGGTTCGTGTCGCGCGCGCGGGCGAGGCGAAGCTGCGCGGGTTCCTGCGCTGGTCAAGCCACCTGGAGCCCAGAGGGGCCGCCCCCCACCCCCAGGCGGGCGCGTGTCCAGCAATTGTCCCGCGGTTGTTCCACGGTTGCCCCGTGGGTGTCCCGTGGTTGTCCCGATGGTTGTCCCGGTGGATGTCCCGATGGTTGCCCAGATGGTTGTCCGCACGGTTGTCCCCATCTTTGTCTCGATGGTGCCCCGCTGGATAATGGTCGTCCCGATGGTTGTCCCGATGGTTGTCCCGACGGTTGTCCCGATGGTTGTCCCGATGTTTGACTCGATGGCTGTCCCGATGGGTGCCGCGATGGGCGCCCCGGTGGGCGTCCCGCAATTTGTCCCCGATAAGTGGGTACACGTGCACAACTACGGAAGAAACAGTTGTACTCAGAGGCCGTTCCGCCCTGCAGGCCCACGCCTGGTGAAGCAGCGCTGCTCGCACAGCGTGGTCTCCCGCGCTGGGCTCGCTGAGCTTAGCCCCGCCCGCGCGATGACGGGCGCGAGCAGCGTCGAATGGGGCACGTCGAAGACCTCGCAGGGGAACGCCGGTCAGCACGAGCAGGAAAGCAACTGCCGGGTCTACTGAGAGCACGGCGACCCGATCAGGTCTTTCGAGTTCGAGGCGACACGGAACCATCACCCGACGGACAGGAGCTTGCCTTGCACAGGGACGGCGATTTTCAAGGACCCGCCGCAAGACATGGATACGGAGGCATGGCGGATTTCACGTGCACTTGCAAAAGGCAAGGAGCTGTTGCCAGAGGTCGCGCGCCAGTGCGTGATGGACAGCTTGGCGCGGCTCGGCGGTGCGCCGGGCTCTGCTGGCGCATCTGCCTCAAAGGGCGCGGCGGCCGGCGCGGAGGTCGCGCAGGGTGCCCAGGCCGCGCCGCAGGGGCCTGCAAAAAAGAGGGCGCGGGCGCGCTCGACTCGGCCGGCAAGCCGGCGGCACTTGGGGCGGCTGCTCCAGTGCTCGAGGCTCTGCCAGCCGAGCCCCGGGCGCAGGAACAGCGCCGCCGCCGCGTCCGCTGCGTCCGTGGAGGGTCGCGCCGCCGCCGGCTTCGCAGTCTAATATGCGCCCGCCATTCGTCGCCGCGGGGGGGTAGCGGCGCCGTCGGCTCCGTCGGCTGCGGTTTCGGCTCCGTCGGCTCCGGGGGCATGCGCCCCTGCAGACGCTGCCCCTTCCGCTCTCTGCCCCAGATGCGGGGCCCGCGTCCCTCTCTTGAGGCTGCCGCGGGGTCGGTCTCGAAGAGAAAGACCAGCGAGCTGGCAGCGGGGGCCGCGCAGGGTGCCCTCACCCCGCCGCAAGGGCCTGCAGAGGAGGCCGCGGCCGCGCCAAGCTCTGCCAGCAAGCTGATGGCAGCGGAGGCCGCGCAGAGCGCCGTCGCCCCGCCGCCAGGGCCTGCAGAAGATAAGATGAAGCCAGGATCGGGGCAAAATTTGACCGGGATAAAAATCATGTTCGGTTTTTCAAATCACCTGGGGCGCCGCCGAACGGGCCTGCCACGCCTTGGGCGCCATCGGCTTCGCGAGGGAAGAAATGCGCCCCGGCGCGGATGAAGCCACGGCGCGTATTTGGCCACGCGCACGCCCGAGGGAATTCAGCGCCAAGCGCCTTTCACTCCAGAAGGCCCGGCGTCAACGAAACAAACTTGAGGCCCCAAGGGGCCCCCAAGGAGGCGGACCGCCAAAACAATCGCGCAACCAACGCAACGAAAAAACACGAAAATGTTAAAACGCGCGTTGCTCAGTGACCTCTTCGGCCACGCAACACCGCGATGATACCCAAGAAGGCATTGGAAACAAAAAGTTCCGAGCGCGGCCAGGCGACTTCCCCGCGCCGCCCCAAAATTCCCGAAGCGCGCCGAAATAACCGTAGAGAACACCCCGGAAAGTCTTTGGAAAGTCCCCGCGCCATGCAGTATCCGCCACCGAACAATCTCGCGGACACCTAGCGCGTGCGGGCGGGCGTCCACCATGGATGCCCAACTCCGGTTTCCGAGACAATCGCGCGCAACCGCCTGGGGGCCTCGGCAACCTCGCGATTGGCCCAGGGGCCCGCGGGCCCCAGGGAATCGAATGCCGAGTTCGCAACTCCGGAAGCATCGGGCGCGGCGCCAGCCAGTCGCTCGTCTCTGGCTGACAGCACGCCTGGAGACCCGGTAAAACCTCAGGAACCGCTTTTCAGAGATTCGCAGAGACAGAAACCGGGGCGCGCCAAATTCTCGCGTCGGAACTTCTCTGAGAATCTCGGAAAATCTCTGAACTAGCCACCCCGCGTGAAACATTCCCATAAACCCAAAACCTCGGAGCTGGCCGAAACTCTCTGAGAGTTTTTCGGCCCGCGAAATTTGGCGCGCCCGGATTTCTGGTTCCGAGATTCTCTGAAATCGCGCTGCGGCGGCGCCCAGCAGGTCCTCGCGCGCCCAGGGTGGGGCGCCGTGGACATCGCGGGCCGCGATGGCCCCGACCGCGAGGCCCCTCCTCCTGCCCCTCGACGAGTCCACGCTCATGGACACGCTCTCTGCGCTGAGCGTGGACCGCGCCATCCGCCGGTACATCTGCGCGACGACAGCCAACTGGCCGCCGACGGACAAGGCGATTTTTCTCCGAGCTGCGCGTGCCACCGAAAACATACAATAGCCCCGGGATCGGGGAGAAACACTTTCGCAACATTTTCAGGCCGCCAGCGTCGTGGCTGCCGACCCGCCGCGCGCCGACCGAGAGACTAGCTGGGCCCGCTACGTCCACGGCGGCGGGCGGGCGCCCAAGAGAGCTGTCGCCACGGTGCGCGCGGCGGGGCGCCCGCCCAACTGCAACCGCAAATGCGGCCTCCATGGCGCCACAGGCGTAATATTTGCGACGCATTCTCGGGCCCCCCATCAGCGCATTGGCCGGCGCCCAAGTCCCTGAGACGCAAACCTACTGCGCCCCCCCTGCAAGCCGCGCACCCGCTCACAATGCTCGTGCGCACCAGATTTTCTGCCCGCCCTCAACAGTTTAATTGAGCGCCCATGTGTTACTTGGGCTCCTCAAGCCCTCGAACACTCTTTGGGAACTTCTGCGAATGCGCGCGCTGCGCTCCACAAATCGGCGTTCTATTTTTCTCTTGAACTCTCCCAGAATCTCTGGATCCGATTTGTCCCGATCTTCAGCTCAACTGAGAAGAGGTCGCGGCCGCGCCTGGCTTCGCCAGCAAGCCGACGGCGCCGGCTCTGCCGGCAAGCATGCTGCAGAACCTCGCAGAGTTGTTTGCCGCCGAGGACTACTGCGCCGATACGGCAGTTTCCCCAACGTCGCCACCGTGCCGGCCGCGGCCACCTGGGGTGGCGCGCGCAGGACAAGACTCGCGGGGCCCGAGGGCGGATGGAGACGATGTCGCGAGCGCCGATGGGCAGCCCAGCACCCCGTTTGGCCAGAGGGGCCCAGTACAATGCAAGGGCAGAGCCCAGCCCCCGCCCGGGGTCGCGGGATCGGGTCCCCCTTTCCCAATGTAAAATCTTCAATCCCAAGCGGTGTACTGACCCGTAAATGAGCAAATGGCATCGGACCTCCTCGAAGGAAGCTTTCGGGTTCGGTCAGGCGCCGACCCGAAAAGTTTATCGGCCGACCTGAAAGCGGCCAAATCCCGCAGGACTTGTGCCCCCAAAAAATCCGGGTCTGGTTCGAACGACCCGAAAATGCGCAAACCGCCTAGGACTCTTTGCAAAAACATCGTTCTCGAGGTCTTCGGGCCCACTCCGAAGAAACCGAGCATGGGCAAACCGCCTAGAACTTCCTATCAAAAACGGTTTCTCGGTGGTTCTGGGCCTCGTCCGAAGGAGCCGCCGATGGGCAGACCGCTCAGGACTTCCTGCACAAGAAACGGTTCCCCCGGTGAGCCATTGTCAACGGGAACGCGCCCCGCGCAGAATCGGGGTTCGCGCGGGGGCGCGACTGCTCTCGCCTGTCCGGGGGGCATGCGTTGTCGCGCCCTTCCAACATAGCGTTTGCGCTGCACTCGCGCGGCGCCGTGCCTCTCAAATCGGAATAAACTTTCAGAGCGCCGATGCACGTAGGAGAAAATACCGATTGGGATGGCCCAGACGACGCAGCAGAAGAAGTCCCTGACCGCACTGCAGCGGACATGCGCGCGGCTGCCGATCATGCTGCGGCGCGTGCGGACGCGCTGCCGTCGCCCCTACAACTGGAGCGGCAGCCTCGGCGCGAGCAGAGTTCAGAGCGGCCCAGGTGCAGGCCGAAGAAGGAGCGGGAGGTTGAACGCGCGCGCTATCGCTGTGTCGCGGCTCACCCGAAGGACGTGGACATCCAGGAGATCCTGCAAGGCGCTGCAGGAGGGGGCGAGGAGGAGGGGGGCGGGGGCGGCGAGGATTGGGAGGGGGGGGGGGGACAGGGAAGATGGCAAGGAGGATCGTGGTAACGAGATGCCGCAGGTAATTCTACTTTAGTTGGTTTCGGAGGGGCTGGGGACGGGGGTAGGAGGAGGCAGGTGGCGGGGGGGGCAGGAGGAAGAGCGGGAGGAGGCTGAGTACGATGGTGAGGACGGGGCAACTCAGTGGGAGCTGGAAGGAGCAAAAGTGGGGAGGAGGAGGGCGGGGAGCACTCGCGAGGCATGCTGTCCAGAGCGCGCTTGGAGCTCTTCGAGTTCGGGGGAGTCTGACTCGCTTCGTGGCTCCATAGGGAGCTCCACCGAAGACCTCAGCGTGCAAGTTCGCATGGCACCGCCCCATTTCGGCACACCCCTCACACGTTTCGTGGCCCCATAGGGAGCTCCGCAGAAGGCCCCAGTGGGAAAATTCAGATGGCACCGACGCCCCATTTCGGCACACCCATCAGACGTTCCGTGGCCCCATAGGGAGCTCCACCGAAGGCCCCAGTGGGAAAGTTCGCATGGCACAGCCGCCCCATTTCGGCACACCCCTCACGAGCCGAGAGCCGCCTCTCATGAGCCAAGTGGTCATCCTTGCAGCGCCGCGTCTCTGGCCTGCGAGCCGTCGTCGTCCGCAACGACATCGCCGGAAGGTTCGCACGCCGCGCCTGCTGCGTCGACCCGAACGCAGAGGGAGCGGCGCACCGGAATCCCACGTGTGCGTGAACAGGGTCAAAGGGGGGGAGGCGAGCCCAGGGGGGGAACCTAGAAGGGGCGGACCTGCTCAGAAGCCTCGGAAGCCCCCTGGACTTCTGAGGAGCTTTCGACGCAGAAAACCTCTCGGAAGGGCGGATGCCTGAGAAGCCCCGACGCCTTCTGCGAAGGCCTTCCGCTTCTCCCGTCCCCCTCGCCCGCCGCCGGAAGGCGGGAGGAACGGCAGAATCTCGCCTGCGAGTCGCAGTCGTCGCTCCATTTGCAGATCACGTCCCCGTGGGAGGAGAGGCAGCAGCCGCAAGTCGGGAGCGGCCGAGAGGGGGGTGTCCACGAGGGGGGGGTGCAAATCATGACCGGCGGCATGTGCGCGGCCCAGTGGGGGGGCCAGGGACGTAAGGAAATAAGAAGAGGCGCCATGAGATCTGGGGAGAACTCATGGCCCGCGCCACGATATCCAACCCCCCTCAGTCGTCACCCCCTTCTTTTCCGCCCCCGACCATGCATGGGAGGAGAGGCAGCAGCCGCAAGACCCACCAAAGCGTTCCCCGGGCAACACGGCCACCGCGAGCGGTGGAGCCTTCTCTTCTCCAGCACGCGTCGCGATCGATCTCGGCAGGGCGACAGCACGTGAAAACACCGAGGTGGGACGGCTCTCTTCACAGTCTTCGCAGAGGGCAGGCGGGCAATGGCATACACCCTGCGAACTGCTTAAGAAATCATGGGTTAAGAAATTCATAGTCTCAGAATTTGAACAAGAACCCAGAATTTCTATTAACATCGTGGGGTTCAGATTGAAGCATTAAGGATAATCGAGACTCTGGCCGAAAATGTAAGTTTTCTTAAGCATCGCCTAGGGTGTAGATGATGGACATCGGTGACGATGGCGGGCTTTCTCCGCGGTGACGCCCGCACTCTCGTACTGCAAGAGCCACGGCTCTGGACTCTTATCCGCGGCCACGCCCCAAGGATGGCGCATGACCTTCCGACAGGCAAGCGAGCTCTGTACGCTGATCTTTCGACACACTGAGTAAACACATTCTCTAAGTTTCCTAGAGTCCAATCCGTCTCTCCCCAAGCCAATTCGTCCCATGGTCCACTCCTCGCCCTTCCCCCTCCTCTCCCCTGTCCACCATCCGCATCCCTCCTCAACGTCCTCCTCCTCCTCCTCCGTCCCCTCCACGCCGTCCTGCTTCACGCTCCTCCGCGCCGCTCCGTCGTGGACGACGTTGAGGAAGGGAGGAGGGGAGCCAGGAAGGCAGGAGCGTGAAAGGAAAGGAACATATAGATCGAGAAGGGGCGACAATTACGGGATATGGCATGTTTCTATATATACACATATAAAAGCGTATGAGAAAGACACAGTGAGAGAGAACACTACATACATACATAACTAAGGAAATAACAAGAAGAGCGAGATAGACAGACAGACAGAGAGAGAAAGAGAGTGAAGGAATGGGGAGGGTAATCATAGAGCATTGGGGGATAGGATAGAAGGGAGCAAGGGAGAGGAAGCGTAATGAGGTCATGGGGGGAGAGGGAAAATAAACCTCGGGGCAGTTCGTATGAGTCTGCCTTTCGTCTAAGTATGGTGTGCTTTTCTTTTTTTACGAGTGTCACGCCTCCGCCTCCTGACCCCAATCCCGGTTCCTACCGCCTTGTCCTTGCCACGCTCAGACCCACTCACACTTAGACTCAATCATGCCCAGACTGACTCACGCACAGACCACTCCCGTTCAGCTCACCCACACTCATACTCACCCATACTCACACCAAGTCATATTCTGACTCGCCCACAACCAGATTCGCGTCCCCAGGCTCGCTCATAGCCAGGCTCACTCACACGCAGATCACTCATGCTCAGACCCACACCCACAGACTCACTCTCACGCAGATTCGATCGTACGGAAACTCCCTCAGAGTCAGAATCACTCGCGTCCGGCTCCCGCGTGCAACTTGCCACGCACACACACACACACACACACACACACACACACACACACACACCGTGAGTCACAAGAGCGATCCACGCGACGCAGCAGGCATAGCACTTGGACACCGCAAAAGGGGGGACGCCAGATGGGCACTTCAGGGGACCGTTCGCGGCCAGCCTGTGGGCATGCCTCCAGCGGGGCGCCTTGTCTGGCGCGCCCGACTCCGTTTTTTCATGGGCCCCGTAATCACCACGCTGCTGCAAGCATAGCACGCGGGCGCACCCCAGGGGGAAGCCGCCGGGGAGGCATCTCACTCGCCCGCTCGCGGCTGGATTGCAGGGTGCCTCCAGCAAGGCGCTTCTTCGGCGCCTCCGACTCCTCCCTCGTCAGAGCCCCACGATCATCGCAGTGTGGCGCGCACAGCAGTGGGGCACCCCAAGGGGAGGCCGCGTCCGAGGGCCGTCCCCCTGCAGCAGGGGATAGCACCTGGGCGCTCCAGGGGCGCTGCGCCGGGGAGCGCCCAGCCGCCACAGGCCAGGGATCTCTCACTCAGTCATAGGGGGCCACTTGCGAACCCTACCCCTACCCCCTACGATTTCTGAGGGGGAGGGTGGGGTTCACTGAATTCAGGCGCTCCCGAGCGAAGTGAACCCCACCCTCCCCCTCAGAAATGGTGGGGAGCAGGGGTAGGGTTCGCAAGTGGCTCCCTAGTCACTCACAGCGCGAAGTGCCAGGAAATTGGAGGCGACCAGAGGGTCTGAGCTGATTGGGCCCCCAGGAAGTCGGTCAATAGGAGGTGGATAAAAAAGCAAAAAACCGCACAACATCTGTCCCCAAACCCCTCCCGGAGCCTATCCGGCGCAGACTTTCAATCCGAGATCCGCGCTTGACGGTCCCCGGGGCCTGGAAACTGCCCCCCGAGGCCGGAGAAGGGCAAACAGGCCCTGCCCGTGCCCGGCGCCTCTCACCTTCCCCCCCCCCCCTCCTGCTCGCCAGAGCCAGTGCTGGGCTGCCTCAGACACCCCACCGACTCCGACCACGAATGGGATGCACAAGGACATCCGAGTGTCCTCCTCGGAGGCATGCGTCCGACCCGAACATATAGTAAACACAGATTACCTATACGACCACCCTTCGGGTGATAAGGAGGTTGTGTGGGGGGGGAGAGGGGGGGGAACCAACATCTGACTCAATCGATCTCACTATCGATCTCACTCAACGGGACACCACGGGACACCACGAAACACCACGGGACACCTGTCGATCTCACTATCGATCGCACTATCGATCTCACTGTTTGGGACACCACACATCACGGGTCACCACGGGACAACTCTCGATCTCACTATCGGTCTCACTATCGGTCTCACTATCGATCTCACTCAACGGGACACCAATGGACACCGCGGGACACCACGGGACACCTCGGCACACCACATCGATCGCGCTATCGATCACACTAACGATCTCACTATCGATCTCACTCAACGGGTCGCCACGGGACACCACGGGACACCACGGGACACCTGTAGATCTTACTATCGATCTCACTTTTTGGGACACCAAGGGACACACCATGGGACACCCCGGGGCACCACATCGATCTCACTATCGATCTCAGTATCGATCTCATTATCGATCTCACTGAACGGGACTCCACGGGACACCTGTTGATCTCACTATCGATCTCACTATCGATCTCACTTTTTGGGACACCAAGGGACACCACGGGACGGAGCACCACATCGATCTCACTATCAATCTCAGTATCGATCTCAATATCGATCTCACTATCGATCTCACTCAACAGGACACCACGGGACGCCACGGGACACCACGGGACACCGCGGGCCACCGCGATCCACCGCCGGACGGACGGACGGGCGGGCGAGGGAGAATCATTTGTCTTGCCTTCGCCCTAGCAACGGCGGACACCACGGGACACCACGGGACACGGCGGGGCACCGCTAGGGCCACCGCTAGGGACACCGCCGGACGGACGGACGGGGGAGAAGCATTTGTCTAGACTTCGCCCTAGAACGGCGGACACCACGGGACACCACGGGACACTGCGGGACACCGCGGGCCACCGCCGGACGGACGGACGGACGAGGGAGAATGATTTGTCTTGACTCGCCCTAGCAACGGCGGACACCACGGGACACCACGGGACACCGTGGGACACCGCTAGGGCCAACGCCGGACGGACGGACGGGGGAGAATCATTTGTCTTGACTTCACCCTAGCAACGGCGGACACCACGGGACACCACGGGACAGCGCGGGGCACCGCTAGGGCCACCGCTAGGGACACCGCCGGACGGACGGACGGGAGAGAATCATTTGTCTTGACTTCGCCCTAGCAGCGACGGACACCACGGGACACCACGGGACACCACGGGACACCGCAGAACACCTGGAGCCACCGCCGGACGGACGGACGGACGGACGGGGGATAATCATTTGTCTCGACTTCGCCTTAGCAACGGCGGACACCACGGGACACCACGGGACACTGCGGGGCACCGCTAGGGCCACCGCCGGACGGACGGACGGGGGAAAATCATTTGTCTTGACTTCGCCCTAGCAGCGGCGGGTTCATTCCTCTCGCGCATCCACGCAGCTTCGCTTCGCCCGCACGCGCGACACGAGCGAAACGAAACGATTTCCCGGTCCGTTCCACTGCGATCTCACCCCCAAGCCTCCGATAATATACCGTTTCCCGAGTGGTGCGTCCAGAAAGCGCCCGGCACGACTTATCTACAATGAAATTGCTCGGTGCGCAAAGGATCACGACGTTGGGGTGACGCCGAAAGACGTGAGGTGCACACACGGGGACCGCCGCGTCGAACGTCATTTGAAGAGCGCCCGACCTTCGGCAGATCGGGCAGCACGGCGCGCTGAGCCGCCTCCATGGCGCGCCCGTGCCGGCGGTCGTGCGCTGGGGTCTCGAGGTGGGCCAGCTCGTGCGCAAAGCTGACCAGCCAGAAGGACACCGCGGCCTCCCAGGAGTGTTCGTGGCCCTCCTCCCGGGAAGGCAACCGGATACCCACCCCGCCAATTACTCCACAGGCGTGTCCTGGGTCGCACAAGAACGAGGGGTTCGAGGCGGCTCCAACCGTGGTGACGAGGGAAACGGCAGCGGCACGGTATCAATACATTCCCTGAGATCCGACGGCGCGAAAGAACTAACACATCTGACATATCACGACAAGAGCCATGCAGCCCTTCTGGTTTTTTGCCAAACGTATCCATACTAGTGCAACATACGAGGCGTTATTTGTACACCCGCCTCCGGCTCGCTTGGCAACGGCTATGCCGCGCCAGGGTCGCCGAGAAGCAGTTGACAGCGCAACTTCCGTTGGTCTCCTTTTCTGGTCTACGACTGAGTCTGCCCACTCTTTCGGGCACCCCTGGTCCAGTCCGTCTCCAGCGTTTCGGCGTGTGGTTGGCTATCCTCTTCAGGACCTGCCACAACCAACCAGACGGGGTCGACGCTGTCACGAAAGACGCCTCTTTTACCGACTGTGCGAAAACACCACGCGTACCTCTTGAATGCAATGATACACTGTGTCCGGTTGTATTCCGGGACTCCTTCGTACACATCATAATTACCAGAAGATGTCGATCCAGGCTCTGAGAACCTCCTGTTTGGCGTTCGAAGAAAGGACGAAACAACTGCCCCCTCTTTCGTGACATCCTCGGCAACCGCAGCTAGGCCAGGCGATTGCCCCTTTCTTCCTTGAGCGGACACTAACCACGGCCCAGGGGTGTGAGCCACCCGACCCCTGCGTTAGGCGCTCGTGGATAATCAGAGCGCGCCTGCGAAACCCCCTTTTTGGTAAAGCCACCACTGCTACCTCTCTGACTGTTGGGAAAAAGGCCGCACCACCGAAAACGAGTTCCAGGAGAGACTTTCGGTTGATATCCAATCTTTTGCGAAGCATTTCCATACTAGTGCAACATACGAGGCATTCTTTGTACACTCGCCTCAGACTCGCCTGGCAACGGTTATGCCGCGCCAGGGTCGCCGAGAAGCAGTTGACAGCGCAACTTCCTCATTTCTGATCTACGACTGAGTCTGCCCACTCTTTCGGGCACCCCTGGTCCAGTCCGTCTCCAGCGTTTCGGCGTGTGGTTGGCTATCCTCTTCAGGACCTGCTACAACCAACCAAACGGGGCAGGCCGACGCTGTCACGACGACACCTTTGCTTCCGACTGTGCGAAAACACCACGCGTACCTCTTGAATGCAGAGATACACTGTGTCTGGTTGTATTCTGGGACTCCTTCGTACACACCGAAATTGCCAGAAGATGTCAAGCCAGGCTCTGAGAACATGCTGGTTTGGCCTTCAAAACAGGGGGGAAACAACTCATCTGCCTGCGCCCCTTTTCGAGGCGGATCGATCTGTGAGGGTCCCGCGACCCGAACCTGGCGAAGACGCCTGGCTCGAAGAAACCGAGACGCCAGAATCTCAGTGTTCTCCTCACCTGGTCCTCCACGAAGTAGCGGAAGTTGAAGAAGAGCGCGCCGTGGTTGAAGGCCACCTTGTGCGGCAACTCATTGGAGCTCACCGTATACATCTTGTTGACTTTTGCGATTCGGCGCTGATCGACGCTAAATCGACGCCAATCGACGCCAAGTCGGCGCTGCCCCATCGATTACCAGACGCTACTCGACGATACTGCGCATTTAATAGGGGGACAAAAAGTGGCATAAACATAAAAATTCTGAGATCCGCGCAGATTTCTCGGATCGGCGCTGGACTCCCCTGGCGGCGCCTCCAGCGCCGCCCCTGGCGCGCGGAGCGCGCCAGGGAGGGGGGTCCAGCGCCGATCCGAGAAATCCGCGCGGACCTCCGAGTTTTTATGTTTATGCCACTTCTTGTTCCCCTATTGAAAACCAAAGCTGCAAAGGCACGCAAGGCTCCCCTGTCGGGTCGGGCGAAAGGGGGGGGATAGCAAAGGGGGGGGTTGAGAATCAGCTCACGTAGCTGACTTTCCCGGCGCCTCCCGGCGCCGGAGGCGGCTATGTATCGAGGAGTGGGTCCCTCGGTGAGGCCGAAACCAGCAGCATGCAGCAAATTTTGTAACCCCCCCTTTCCCAATCCCCCCCTTTCGTCCGGCCCGACCCTGGCTTTGCTGCCCGAGGCCGCCGTCTGCGCGTCCTCCTCGAAGATGTGCGCGCGGCCGCGGCAGGGCACCCCGAAGAGCTCGCAGAGCGAGCCGAGCAGCGCGGCGAAGCGCTCCAGCGCGCCCCCGGGGCCCGCACGGGCCCGCAGGCGCGCCAGCGCCGCCTCGCGGCCCTGGCTCTCCACCCAGACCTCGCGCGCGAGGCAGCTGCGTACAGGGCAGTCTTTAATACATGCGATCTTTTTGAAAAATATAGGATTTTAACACATGGCCAATTTAGGAGAAAATTTATGCATGAACGCATCGTTGTGTTTAAAAGCTAACTCCCTGCACTTATAATACATGATCCGCACGCGGAGCATGTATTTAAAACAGCACTGTACAGTGGAGGCCCGTCCACAAGAAACCGTAGTGGAACAAGAAGTGGCACAAACATAACAACTCGGAATCCGCGCGAATTTCTCGGATCGGCGCTGGACCCCCCTCCCTGGCGCGCTCCGCGCGCCAGGGGCGGCGCTGGAGGCGCCGCCCGGGGCCCCAGCGCCGATCCGAGAAATCCGCGCGGACCTCCGAGTTTTTATGTGTATGTCACTTTTTGTTCCCCTAAACCTTCCACAAGAAGCCCAACCCTGAGACCCCAGGACGTCCACCGATGGTTGGCGGGGGAGCGTCAATACCTTCCACAGAAAAGCCACGGAAACCCGGGAAACCCAGGGCACCCTGGAGGCTGTATCTTGGCATGGGCCCCCACTGTATACGCCGCCACCGTGCCCGAGCAGGGCCACCCCCTGCCTCTGGCCCTGGCACGGTGTGTACACCTCCTCGCCGGGGACGGCCCTGGCCAGGCACGGCGTGGTGCACGGACGCCTTCTGCGGCCCTGGCTCTCCACCCAGAGCTTACGCGAGGCAACTCCTGGGAGGCCTTCTTTAGAACGACTGGGTGAGGGCTATGAGACTATAGGCCGATGTTAAAAAAAGGGCCGTGAAGCTGGGCGAGCCCTGAGGAAACCAAGCGGTTGGAGCGGGGCCAGGCGGAACTGGAAACGGGATTCTGCCGGATTGGGTCTGTTCTCGACTACGGATGTGTCAGCGCCGGCCCTGAGATCCGACGTTGCAAAACAAATGCAGTATCTCAAAAAATCACGACTGCAGCCCTGGACTCCATGCTTATGCGTCATTTTTTGAGCTGGCTCGATCTGCGAGGGCCCTGGGGCCCGAAATGGAGCGCAAACGCCCGTCGTGAAAAAACTGCCACGCCAGGATTGCAGGGGATGCCGAGGAGGAGGCGGGGGGCCTTCTGCCTCCTCCTCCTCCCTCCTCCTCCTCCTCCCTCCTCCTCCTCCTCCTCCTCCTCCTCCTCCTCCTCCCTCCTCCTCCTCCCTCCTCCTCCTCCTCCTCCTCCTCCTCCTCCTCCTCCTCTCCTCCTCCTCCTCCTCCTCCTCCTCCTCCTCCTCCTCCTCCTCCTCCCTCTCTCCTCCTCCTCCTCCTCCTCCTCCTCCTCCTCCTCCTCCTCCTCCTCCTCCTTCCTCCTCCTCTCCTCCTCCTCCTCCTCCTCCTCCTCCTCCTCCTCCTCCTCCTCCTCCTCCTCCTCCTCCTCCTCCTCCTCCTCAGCAGCTGCAGTCTGGCAGGCCTGGATGGACGCCTCCGCGCCGCTCGGCCCCTTGCCGCGCAGCAGCGCCACCCGCTCGAGGTCGTGGCACGGGCTGCAGTCGGGGCACGCCCCCGCCGCCGCGGCCCCGCCCGGGCCCTGCGCGGTCGAGAGGCGGCTCGCGCTGCTCGCCCGCACGCTCCCGGCGAGCCGCAGCAGCAGCTGCCTTCGGGGATCTGGCCATCGCTCGGACGTCCATTCCCTGTGTTTTTGTTTGGTTTCGTGCGCGTTTTTTTCGCCAATGGTCAAGGATGCTCCTCGCCGAGGAAAAAACGCACACGTCCGAGCGATGCCAAGGGATCGACTGACCAGGCTTTTGCAAGACAGCAGCAGCAGCAGCAGCAGCAGCAGCAGCAGCAGCAGCAGCAGCAGCAGCAGCAGCTGCCTCCGGGGATCGAGCCGCAGCAGCAGCTGCCTGGGCCGGTCAGGCTTTTGTAAGACGAAGCCAGGACGAGGATCAAATCGGGTGAGAATGCATCGAGAATCTCTGAGATCCGGCGGCTCTGGAGGATGTCTCGGGCGCCACGGCCTTCTCAGCGCGTTCCGGAATGCTCTGAGAGCATTCCAGACCGCTCTGGAACGGACATATCCTCATCCTCCGTAGACGGGCTAACGGCGATGTAGGCAACGGCGAAGTAGGTTTCGGTTGTGTGGGAACGCGTGGCTCGCGCTTTCCTACAATTCGCTGTCGTGCTCGCTCGTTCCATTCGCAGGTTGGAAATGTAGGAACATGTGGTTCGTGATTTCCTACAAGTTGGATCCCAACATTACCGTAAGCAACATCGCCGCGAGCCCGGCCTTGGATCCTAGCCTCGTCCGAGCGTCGCAGGATGCTGCAGGATCCTGCATGAGCCTGCACCCAGACCTGGTCAATGCAATGGCCCTGCCAGACCCTGCAAGATCCGGCGCTCCGACTGACCCCCGTTCGCATTGGCCCCCGTCTCTTGAACCCCGATGCCTCCTCTCGCGCCTCGCCCCAGCTGCCACCCCGCGCGCCTGCCCCGCGTCGTCAGCGGCGCCCTGGCGGGTGCTTCACGGACGGGCGCTCTGGCAAGCGACGGAAGTCCCGAACTCTTTCCCCCAGCGCCGCTTCCCCGTGCTCTTCTCGCTCTGGCATCGCCGAGAACAAAAACGACCACGTCCGAGCGATGCCAAGGCGCCATTGCCCAGACCCCCGACGTCATTACTTTTTCACGACGCGACCCCCGGAGGTCCAGACCTGCCTGCGGGGACCGGCTTTCCATCCCGAGCCGTCTTTGGGCTCCCAGGCGCTCCCAGGCGCTCCCAGGCGCGGCGCTGTCGGCACGCTCCCAGGCGCTCCCAGGCGCTCCCAGGCGCTCCCGAGTGCGCCCGGGGAAGGCCGAAAATCTGGAAAAACCTTCCGTTGCGATTCCTTCATGGCTCCATGGGGCTCTGGGAGCGTCGGGTCGGGCGAAAGGGGGGGATAGCAAAGAGGGGGTTTGAGAACCAGCTCACGTAGCTGATTCTCCCGGCGCCTCCCGGCGCCCGAGGCGACTATGTATCGAGGCATGGGCCCCTCGGTGAGGCCGAAACCAGCTGCATGCAGCATATTTCGTAACCTCCCCTTTCCCTGACCTTCCAGGAGGGCTAAAAAATAGCACCAGGACCTCGATATCTTAATTCCTGTCGAGGTTCTAGGCAGCCCAGATAGGTCTGTAGGCCTGGAGGGCTATTTTTTAGCACTCTGGATGGTCAGGGTTCCCAATCCCCCCCTTTCGCCCGGCCCGGGAGCGGTGCCGCGGACCGCGGCCCCTGGCTCCGGGCCCGCCGCTGGCGGCTGCGGCTGCTCGGCGGCCGCCGCGGGGCCCGCGGCGCCCGCCGCCGGGGGCGGCGGCTCAGCGCCGCCGCCGCCGCCGCCGCCCGCCGCCGCCGCGGCCGGTGGCGCGGCGGGCGCGCCGCCGGGCCGCAGGGGCTCCTGCAGGGAGGCGCCCTCCGGGGCCTGCCCTGACCCTGACCCTCCTGGAGGGCTAGAAAAGCACCAGGACCTCGATAGCTTCATTCCCGTCGAGGCTCCAGGCGGCCCAGGTAGGTCTATATAGGTCTGGAGGGCTATTTTCTAGCACTCTGGAAGGTCAGGGGAGGTGCCGTTTGCACCGCGGGCGCGTCTGCGCTCCCATTCGGCGGGCCCCGGGGCCCGCATGGATCGGTCCGGCTCGAAGAAATAACGCAGAAAGACTTGGTCCAGGGCTCGGGTGGTGATCTTTTGCGATGTCGCAGTTTTTGCTGCAACGTCGAACCTCAGGGTGGGCAAGAGAGCCCAGAATCGCATCGATGAGTTGGATGGGCGATCGAAGTGAATCGGATCGGCGGACATCGGCAGCCGAGTCGTGTCGGGAGAAGTCGAACCGGCGGGAATCGGCAGGCCAGTAGGCTAGTGAGGCCTACACTGAGAAAGCGGAACCCAAATCGGAATCAGAAGTCGAATCGAATCGGAATCGGAAGCCATCGAAGTCGAATCGAATCGAATCGAATCGAATCGGAAGATTCGCACTGAGCCCTGCCTGTGGTGGGGGAAGCACCGATACTGCTACCCTTCCCTCCATTTCCCCTCTCCGGGCCTCCTGGGAGGCCCCCGTCGCCACGGCAGGATTCTCGGGTCCAGTCAGAACGCGCCCCGGGAGAGGTCCGGGGAGCACTTCTGGTCACAGGACTCCTCCCTGGACCTCTCATGGGGCGCGTCCGTCCCGAAGCGGATCCAGCAGGTGTGGCGACGAGGGCTCTCCGGGACGAGCCGCGACAGCGGTAGTTATCGCGGCCCGCAGAGTCCCGACCCGTCTTGCCTTGTCTTGCTTTTTCCAATGCGCGGCCCGCAGAGTCCCGACCCGTCTTGCCTTGCCTTGCTTTTTCCAATGCGCGGCCCGCGGAGTCCCGACCCGTTCCCCATAGGGCCAGCTGCTCCTCTCGCGCCATGTTTGACGGTCCTGGGGCCCTTTGTGGGGGGCCCCAGAGGCAGAGAAGTGAGAGAAGCCCTCGTCTTGATGTCCTCCACTCGTTGAGGCCTGCGGACGACTACTCGCCTTGGCCTCTCCCAACATGCGTTCTGACCAGAACTTCGACGCGAATCCAGCCGTGGCGGCAAGGGCCTCCCAGGATGCCCCAAATGGCGAAAACGAGGCAAGGCTGGCTGTATCGGTGCCTTTTCCTCCCCTCTTGGATGAACGCGG